GATCGAGCCGGAGGCCAGGTAGAGACGGACACGCCAGCAGAAGCAGTGGCAAACGATGGTCGCGCAGAGGGCAACAGGGCGACGCGTAAAAGCAGAAAGCGATGGACGCGAGCGGCGCAAGGAACACGCGGGGCTTCGAAACGCGCAGAAGCGGCTGCTCGTCAGGAGGAGACAGCCGCGAGCGGAGAAGCCGTAAATGCTGCTTTCAAGCACGATCCGCTTAACTACGGACAGGCGATGCGCAGCGGCAAGCGCGAAGGTTAGGAGACGGAGATGCAAGAGTAGATCGCCGCGCTCGAGGCCAACGACGTCTGGACTACCACTAGGCGAACGGCAGGAACGCATGCGCTGCACACCAAATGGGTCTACAAGACCAAGACAGATGCGTATGGCGACCTCGAGCGGCTGAAGGCGCGACTGGTGGCTTGTGGAAACGAACAGGTGCTTGGCGTCGACTACACCCTCACCTTCGCTGCCGTGATGGACCTATCGACAGTCAAAGTGATCCTGGCGCTTGCGGCTACGTGGGGGGTGCCTGCCAAGCACGGTTACATCCCCAACGCCTACGTTAAAGCGGACAAGGAGCCTCACCTCCGCATCTATCTACAGATGCCGCGCGGCATGCCAGTCCCGAAGGAGACGCTACGAGCGCAAGGCGTTTCGAACGCGATCGAGCTGGTGCTGGAGCTGCGGAAGAGCCATAACGGGCTCAAGCAGGCAGGATGGCTGTGGAGCCAGCTGCTGCACTCGAATCTCTCTACTGCCGGTTTCACGCGGTGTGAGAGCGACATGTGTTTCTACTGGAAGCGCGACGGCGACGACCTCGTCGTGGTCGGCGTGTATGTCGACGATCTTCTAGCGACAGGGACGAGCGCGGCGGCGGTCGAGCGGTTCTTCACAAGCCTCGCGTCGTTGTCGATCAAGTACCTGGGGCGTGTCAGCAAGTTCCTGGGCATGCGCGTGACGCACAACGGTCAGAATGGGTACACGCTCGATCAAGAGGAGGCCATCAGAGATCTCCTACGCGACAACGGACTCGCCTACGCAAAATCGACGTGGACGCCGATCGACGACAGCTGCTACGAGTTGAAGGAGGGCGACGCGGAGCTTCTTATGACGCCAAGAGCGCAAATAGGAGCGACTGTGCGCCAGTTCCAGTCGCTGGTCGGCTCGCTGCTCTGGATGGCGCGTTGCACGCGCCCCGATATAGCATTTGCGGTGCACAAGGTTACGAGACGAGCACACGCGCCTCGACTAGCAGACTGGAAATTGGCTAAGCGCATCGCGCGATACCTCAAGGGAACGGTGGCGCTCAAGGTCACGATGATCCCAGAAGACAATCTAGGTGCGGCGGTGCGCCTAGAAGCGTTCAGCGACGCCTATTTTGCCGCCGACAAGACGGACCGGAAGTCAATGACGGGCGGCATCGTGATGCTGAACGGGATGGCTGTCAGCTGGGGTGCGCGGAAGCAGGGAGGCGTCTCCCTGTCGACGATGGAGGCGGAGTTTGTCGCGGCGAGTGAGGTAGCGCGCGAGCTGCTCGGCCTGCGCGAGATGTTGTGCGAAGTGGGCGTAGAGCCCGCGCTCCCGATGCAGTTGCGGGTGGACAACCAAGCGTCGATCGCGCAGATCGCGGGAGAGGCATCGTCGCTGAAGGCAAAACATGTGGATGTGCGCCTTAAGTTCCTTTGCGACTACTCGCGTCGCGGTATCATCACGGCGAGCTATGTCAGGTCGGAGCAGATGCTCGCAGACCTCCTCACGAAGGCGCTGGACGCGACAAAGCTCTCGGCACTGCGCGCACTCGTGCGCATTGGATAAGAAAAGGTCAAGGACGATCAAGGGTGATCAAGGAGCTCGAGGATGGAGGAGCACAAGGACAAGAACATATGCAAGCACAAGAATTGGAATAGGGTGTGAGGGCAAGTCACGACCGAGGAGGAGTGTTGGAATGTTGGAAATGGGTGCAAGGGTACGTAAAGGCGATCGGAGTGTTCGGCCGGTGGCTTGGGGTTTTATTTGGAAACATGATGTCACAAACTCGCTGTGCGCACAAGATGGACGCAGAGTGACAAGCAGGATAGTGATTCGAGTAGGGCTAGGATGCGTGCGAAATGGATGACTGGAGTAGAGTGCTTTGGGAAGCATGGCAGAGAAGAGAGAACTAGTAAGGAAATACAACAGTATCTTAAATTTCACCTAACGCTTCCTTATCGCAACACGCATCTTGCCAACAAGCTAGAACAGCTAATTGACAGAAGTACGCTTTCAGCTTGACGAGCAAGCCTATTCTTTACAAGAACACGACTCTAGGAGCCAACGAGCTTACAGCTCCAGATCCTTGTTTAAAGGAGCTTAACGATTCAGCGAATCGAATGCACCGTGTGCTGAGGTGTCTATTTCTTAACAAGGCTTGACTCTCTTACGACCTGAGTCGCCTTTAGAAGGCACATGTCTCGAATAGATCAAAAAGGGGGCTGAACTTTATTTTATTTTATCGAAAAGGACACCTTCGACTAAACGCACCTAATTTAGATACTAATGCTCTGATTGATACCTTTTTTAAAAGATCTCGTATTTGGTGGCTGGCACACTTCAGCCCCCAACGACTGATAAGGTGTTCTAATACCATTTTCACTGTGATCTCATCCCTGGTGTGAACCACACTTGTTATGTCGGTTACCAACCGACGTGTAACTCCGTCCCACTATCGGCGTAGCGGCACGTTTCCAAGTTTGCGATTGAGACATTTATATATTTGGCTGCAAGATCGATACAGCGATCAAGTACAAAATAACAATGGATATAGGTTAGTAGTAAAATCGACATCTACTGCTACGTGTACTCGACTGCTGTGCAGCTAAATGTATTTCCAGGCGACCTAACGCTATTGTGGTCGACCGTGTATACTTTCTGCGCCATTGGATGGTGGATGGAGCCCTGACGGCAGGTCGGCAGGTCAGGCTTCGACATAGAGGGGCTTATTCTGGGACGGGACTAAAGAGTCGCAAGAAAACGAAGTGAAACCTATGCACCAAAACAATCGAGGATGTCAGCCGGACAAGAACAGCTTGGTCGAAGGCAAAAGAAAGCTTAGTACTGTAGTTGATGCAGCTACAAATCAGTCAAAAGCCTCTTCCTTACCAGAACAAACAAAGTACAAATAACATCGTACACTTTCTTCTCACTTCCCATTGTCTTATCACTTTCCAAAAAGTGTATTTGTTGGTCAGTACAATGGCATGCACCAACAATGAGCAGAGTGTCGTCAACTGCTGCTGATATCACTCCAAAAGTGGTGCTTATCCAATACGGTTATCGGTAGTATTATTGTCACATTGTATACGCTATGACAAATTTCGCCTTGACATGTACGTTTGTGTCAATGCCATGCAACAGTGTGGCTCCGTTACACACGACCCGTTTGATGTCGTCGAGCCAACAACTAAACGCATTTTCTTGCGTCCGGATCGGTTGTCGCACTAGACATGACAGAGGGAGGCGACGGTGTCGCTATCGTCAAAAGCTTCGAATGGTGCTTCAGCGCATCCTTATACTTTTTGACGAGCTAGTCTAGTACCGTGTACTGGTAAAGCAAAGAGCACAATGAGCGTTTGGCACCGCAGCACTATGAACGTCTTGAGGTCGCCTTGTCCACAAACGATTTTGCTACCAACAGATGGTAAAAAGGGTCTGTTTCTGAGCGTCGAGTGTCGAACGGTCCAAGTGAGCTTTCATGCGTTGCTGAAGCTACCACATCAAAGTGTCCGACAAGACGCACGTGACTCGCTGATAAGTAGTTTGAGTGGTCGACTGGTACACCTCACTGAAATGGCCAACTTCAACACAAGCAAAAATACATGTAGTTCAACTCGGTTTTTGCTTTCGACTTGAACCTCGGCAAATCTGAGGAGCTTCCGCCATCCTGCGTCGTTCAGTCTGATCGATTATTGCAGCCGGAGGTGACACTGAGATTCAATCTTGCAGCTGACGTGAGCTTGACCATCGATCTTTTCCACTCTTCTCGGGTACACAGGTGATGCATCCGAGTAAAGCAGCCTGTACCCACATCCGTTGCGTGGCGCTACATCACTGGGCCACAGCAGCTTCAACGCACCATTAGCTTTTCGATTGTCGTAGTTTGCGAGCGTCGGCTATGTATTTTGCTGGCTTTACGACGTTTCTTATGATTCTCATTGGACCGTTCTTTTCCTCCAGATTTCGGCTCTGCAACTTCGAGCCTTCCTACTGTCTTATCCCGAAGCGGATGGTCGATGCCGTCCCTGCATGCGGCGCAATGTACAGCCAAGTCGAAGGCATGGCACATGGGCAAGAGTTTCATCGCCGTCCGCATTCTCGACATCCTCTGAAAGTGTAGAGAGACGTTGCTGGGACGTGGTGTCTCGATAGCAACGATGCACACAGTCGTTTTGAGACCTCATTCAGCTTGTAGCGCAAGCCGAAAGTGCGAAGAATGTGAAGGCGTTGGAGTGAGTCGCGGGAATGTATTTTGTGGAGCTACTGCAGTTGAGGACGCAGATGATAGATACAGAGGCAGTGGACGACACATGCATTTTTGTAAGGTGGCATCTACATTCTCAACCGCAACTTTCTTGGTCATCACAGGAAGACTCATACCGCTTTGATCGCTCCCGTGCGGCAGGTGAAGCTGCAATAATAGTGGGGATATCGTGGTGAGGTCTGCAGGACGATTCGCGCTGTGTGATCGTTGCTTTTTTCGCCTGCAAATAGTTGGAGCGTCCTAATTTTAGACGAAAGCAAAAAGATGTCTGCTTGTCGTGACGGCCACACCTCCTAAATCTAGAGAGGAGCGCCCTCTTGTAGAGAGTAACATTCACTTCGTTCGTACCCTCTCCGGTCGAACACGACGACCTCTAACACTCGGTTTGAGCGTCTACTTGTACAGACAATTGAGGTGCTCTTTTTGTCATTTGACCGACGGTGCATTCGAGTCGTAACCCCAAGTGGGGTACGCACGCATGGCATCAGAAGACGAGGAAGACGAAGTGTATGCGTATTCGGCAGGTGAGCTAGACGACGAAGACGAAGAGCAATGCACAGATGGAAAGGAGGAAGACGACGACGTCGAGTGGGAGAATGTCGACTCGTCGCCGCTGGCAGCAGACGCTCTAACTGCCCGCCCCAGTGCTGCACCGTACCCTCCGGACCCTGTTGCTGTACATTCGGACGACATTTGTCCAAATGTACCCGCCACCATCGACACACAACCGAAGCGGGCGCAAGTCGACTGGGACCACGTGAACCGCTCGCTTGCGGACAAAGACGCAGCAGTAGCAGCCGCATCGGTTGCGTGCAAGAGACGGCGGCCGTGTCTGCGTCTCACGCGGGACGAAAGGAAGCGGGAAACGGCGCTGCACCAGACGCATCTGCTGCTTTTGCTGGCGCTTCGGATCAAGTGGACCCGATGGAGCTGCCACAAGTTGCTCCAAGGACTGCTATTGTCGCTGGCAACAGCAAGTGACGTGGACTTTTGTGCCGAAGTGAAGCAGCGACCCTGTGCGTACTCGCTGGCGCTGCTCGTTCGGTGGTTTGGTCACGCGTTTGAGCTAAGCAGTGAACCGAGCAAAGCACTGGACACGGAGGTGGTGACGGAGGCGGCGCTTCTGAGCGTGTTTTTTGCTCGGAGAGGACGAGACGTTGAGCTGGCTCTGTTGTTCGCAGCGCTGTGTGGAGCCCTGCAGCTTCGGTACCGTGTGACGTGGGCACTGGATCCGCTGCTGGTGCAGAAAGGCAAGGTGTTTGAATCGTCGTTTCGACGCAAAGTCGGCAAACGTCCCCGACGTTCACGGACGATCGCAACTACGCTGCTGAATCGAAAGAGACGGCGGTCAGACGAGAGCGACGAGGAGAAGGAGACTGGTGACAAGGCACTGGACTTGACAAGTGACGAGACTGTAGGTCAAGTGTTTTGGTTGTGGTGTGAAGTGCTGGATGAAAAAACCAAAAGCTGGATCCATGTGGATGCGGTCCGCCGACTTGTTGACCGTCCGCGGGATGTCGAGCCGCTGCGCGGTAAAGCGTTTCGTTTCTCGTATGTGATCAGTATCCAGGACGACGGCCTGCTTGTGGATGTAACAGCACGGTACGCTGTGCACTGGAGCAAGAGCTTGGCATTGCGTCTTGCAGATTCGTGGTTGGAGCGTGTGCTGGAACAGATAAATGACGATACGAACAGCCAGTACGATGAGAATAGAGCAGCATGGATACGATCACGAGCAAATGTCGCAGCCGATGCTACTGCTGAGGAAAAGAAAGCGCTAGAGACACTAAAGTTGGCCGAAGGCATGCCCACGAGTGTCGAAGGGTTCCGGAAGCACCACTTGTACTGCCTCGAGCGCCATCTAAGTCGCTCAGAGTGTCTCCACCCACGCAAAGTGGTTGGATTGTTTAACGGTCAAGCTGTCTTTTTGCGGAAACACGTGCAGCCTGTCCGATCTGCCTTCAAGTGGCGACGTCTCGGCCGAGTCGTGAAAGACGAGGAGCGTCAGAAACCTGCACGATGGCAGTCCCGGGACGGGTCACTTTCTGGCTGCAACGGCAGCAGTGACGACGTTTGTGGAAGTGATCGAGACGGCACGAAGGACACCTCGTCACTCGCCCTCTATGGCTTGTGGCAAACAACCGAGTTCGGGCCTCCGCCCGTAGTAGATGGCCGCGTTCCGAAGACCAAGTATGGCAACATTGAGATCTGGAGTCACGCCCATGTTCCTCGTGGTGCGGTGCACCTCCAATTGCCTCGGATCGATGCACTCGCCGAGTCCTTAGGAGTGGATTTTGCTCCTGCTGTTGTGGGCTTTGAGGTTCGCAAGGGGCGGACCGTGCCGAAGATCGCAGGCATAGTAGTCGCACAAAGCCATGAAGCCATGTTGCTGGACGCCCACGCCGAGAAGCAGCAGCAGACGATCGAGAAGGCGATAGCGTATAACCGGAAACTCGTGCTCCGACGCTGGGCGAAGCTCACCAAGCGGCTGTTGTTACGGCAGCGACTGGAAGACGACTATGGAGCGGTCGGGCATTGAAGCGCCAGTGCTGTGTCCGCACACTGTTTGTGTGGATGGTCTATAAAGTGTACATACGACGACTTGATAGCGGCAATATGTAACGACGATATGGACTAGATATGGCCATATGTACTAGATATGACCATATGTTCTTGGGTATGACCACACGGACTTGGAATCGACGATATGTACGACCGAAGGGAATACTAGTCGTCTTTTTGCTTTGTCGTACACATTTGCGTTCGCCAGTCTACAAAGTCTGCGAGATGCAGCGACTGACCGCGTCAGGACTCGCAACGCACGCGCGTCGCAGTGCCGCGTTCAGCACAGGCGGCGTCTGGAAACGTCTTGCAGCCGAAGGCCCGACGTTCCAGGACTTTGTCACGCGCAGTCACCGACGCGCATCCGCTCCTGACAGCAAGCTGGTTCATAAGCCAGCGTCAAGTCCCGACGAATCGCTGCATCAGATTCGCCAGATTTTAGCCGAAGTTCGACAATTTGTACGACAAAACAGTGAAGCAACTGGGTTTAGAGGCATTATGCGATCGTACAAGAAAAAAGAGGGCAGAGCAGTAACAAACGTGTCGATTGTATGTGTGTGTTTTTTCTTTTGTAGCCACGAGAGGAAACCGTACGACGGCAGTTGGTCGACCACTTTGGGCGCACGCACACTTATTTGCGGATTTCGTTGACCGAACGCTGTAATTTACGATGTCGCTACTGTATGCCGAAAGACGGCGTGCCGTTACAGCCGAGTGAGGACCTGTTGACGTCGTTGGAGATCATTCGCTTGACGAAACTGTTTGCATCCTCAGGAGTGACGAAAATCCGGCTTACAGGCGGCGAGCCACTGCTTCGGCGAGATTTGATCGAGTTAGTGACTCAACTACGAGCGATTCCAGGCATTGAGTCCGTGGGAATCACGACAAACGGTATTTTGCTGCGGAAAAAGCTGCTGGCTTTGCAGCGAGCAGGTGCAGATCGACTCAACATTAGCTTGGATACGTTGAAGCCAGTCAAGTTTGCGCACATTACGAGACGACAGGGATTTACACGGGTGATGAACGCGATCGTCGAGGCACAGGAGCTAGGATTCAGTCCGCTCAAGATTAATTGCGTGGTCCAGCGGCATTTCAATCTGGATGAGGTTGTCGACTTTGTGGCCTTTACGGAGAATCATGCCGTAGATGTTCGTTTTATCGAGTGGATGCCATTTGACAGCAACCGATGGAACGACGAGACCTTCGTGGCCTTCAGTGAGATGATGGAGACGATCGAGACTGCGTTTCCCAATGTCGAGAAGCTGCAGGACGGCGCGAACGATACATCGAAAGCTTATCAGGTGCCTGGTTTCAGAGGACAGTTTGGATTCATCACATCCATGAGCGAGCATTTTTGTGGCTCGTGCAATCGTCTGCGTTTGACTGCTGATGGAAACCTGAAGGTCTGTTTGTTCGGAAGCGCTGAAATCAGTCTGCGAGATGCTGTGCGCAGCAACGTTGCCGACGAGGACATTGGAGATATCATCGACGTGGCAGTGAAGCGTAAGAAGTTTGCGTTGGGCGGTCATGGGGACATGTATGGTTTATCAAAAGCGAAGAACCGTCCGATGATCCTGATCGGAGGATAGCAATGTCGAGTGGAAACAGTCTGGAAGCCACGGAGGTACGAAATGAAACGGATGCATGGTTGCAATGTCGATAGAATCGCAATTGCAGTTACGAAAGCAGTGGCGAGTCAGTCACAGCGAAATGTAGGCTAATGACAGCCTGGATTGTACATTTACATCGCTAGGTTTGGCGTGTCAGACTTGGAGGAAGCAGACGTTAGGGACGCAAAAAGCACCGGAAGGATTCCACCGCACGATCCAGGCATTGTTCTAACTTGGAGCATAGTCGAATCGCTAGAATAACAGCCGTCCCGCTTCTCGAGTCGATCAACACTGTCTCGAGCACGTTGCGGCAGCGTGACTGGTGCCAGCAAGCAAGTTGTGGTGGTCAGTCAGGAACTCATCAGTCGACGCCTAGCTGAGCCAGCTGCAGTGCCGTCATTAAGTCGGCATGTTCATTTGGCGACGGAAGATTATGGTTGCGCGATCAGTATACCCGTTCATGACAACTTTTCCTGCTCTTCTCATGGCCTTCGCTGTCCATGATGCTCAATGAAGCTGAAGCGCTGTCTCAGCTTTCACTTGTGCGGTCGTGCCATATACGCTGCTGCGTGCGCTTGCCATCGCACCAGTGTGGTGAGTGGGCAAACCCACAGCACACGTCGCTCGAGTAGCATATGGGTGCATCCTCCGACCGGAAGAGACTCGCTCGATCGTAAGCACCACAACAGCCTGTGAAGACCTGGCGTATCGACAACTCACTTCTCTGCGATACTTCACTTCCCGGTAGTATACCGCGCTCGGCGGTTCACTGGTCAACAGCCACACGTCCGCGCTAGTTCTCTGGACTTCCTGTTTTTCCCCTGCTGTTGCCCTGCTCATGGCTATCTTGATCAGAACAAAAACCATCATCTTGAGCCTTGGCGGCGCTATCTTCAAATGCAAGCATCGTCATGAAACATTCTTGATCGAGTTAAAATGCAAGGCTTCTTTCCCCGTTCCTGTTTTTGCACAACAGCTCTTCTCCAACTCCTCCTTCGTGTGGGCCCGCAGTGTTATCTCGTTGCTGTCAAGCGAGTTCGGACCGAATGCTGCAGCAAACAGCTTACTATGAAACAGACGCACATCATCCGTCGTTTAGTACATGATGATAGGAAAATCCTCTACTGTCAACAACCAATTCGTGGCCTTACTTACCTCGGACATGGTCTCGTCGGCTCTGTCACTAAAATCACAGCACAAATGGTTAACACCGCTTTCAGCAATCTGTACATCACAGCAAGCACACTACAATGCATGGACTACGCACTCGGGTGACAAACTGCGGTCAGCACTCCTTTTCTCCCTGTTACCAAGATAGCAGTGACAACAATGTAAGCATCTTATCCGCCGCTTCTGTGCATGCCCAACCAGCAGCAATCCAAGTTCTTCGTACCGCTTGGGCGAAAGAGAAGGAGAAGCACGGCGCGGAGACGGCGATGCACGTGGAGAGCGGCGCGGAGAAACCGACCCCTGCTTGCGGTCAGCACTGGTGCTGCGTCTACAGGTCATCCACACAGCAGCGTCACATCCACCTCTTTTTTTCAGTACGGCAGGTCCCGTCACCAACACAGTACAAGCAGCTCACTGGCCCACCTCGGTCGATTCTGCGATCCTGAGCGCGAGCGCGACTTGGAGCGTCGTCGTGACGAGTGTCTCGGGCTATCGCGCATCCCGAAGCAAACACAAAGTAAACAAAAACGACAATCATGCCAAACACATCAGTCCCAACACGAACGACACGACACCACCAACAACACCCAGCAACCCATCCAGCACGCACTACCGCAACATATCGATAGACATAGACACAAACACAGAAGGAACACACATAACAACTACGTACGATCGTTCCGTCGGTAAGTTCAGAATCCGCCGCATCTCTTGCGGACTCTTGCGGTGCTGCTTTGCAAAGAGCACAGCAATCTCGCGGCCGCCAATCTGCGACCGGTCCATCTCGAACTTTACGTCGCGACCGACGCGCGAGTCGGCAAACTCAATGAACGCAAACCCGCGTGGGCGGTTTGAATTGAACTCTTTGGGCAGATACACGTCGAGGATGTCACCGGCACGGCGCGAGAACGCGCGACGGAGCTCGTCCGACGTCGTTTCGGGCGACAGATTACGCACGAGGAGACTAATGGGCTCGCGACTGCCGCGATCGGCCGAGCGCGAGCGGCGACTGCGTCGGGTGTCGCGACTGCGCTCTTGTCGACGGTCGCGGGAGCGCGAACGCACGCGACGCGAGCCACGCGACCGGGAGCGCGAGCGCTTGGGCGGGGACGAGTTCCGACCGGCGCCGCGACTGCTGCTGCGGCTGCGTGGACGCGAGTAGCGCGGACTGCGACGTGGGGAGGCGGAGCGGCGGCCCATGAGGTCGAGGACGAGGCGAGTTTTATTACTGGAAGCGGACGAACCTCGTGGGGCGCATGAACACAAGGACGTGAGCGCCTCGACAACCGCATACCGTGTGGCGAGTCGGTATTCCTACTGGTTTTGGTTTGGATTGGGTCGTGGCGAGTCGGTATTCCTACTGGTTTTGGTTTGGATCGGGTCGTGGCGTCGTGCGCAACAGCATCAGGTGGCCCAGACTAAAAACGGTGGGCGCGCTTCTTGTTTTCTACCAATCAGATTTACGAGCGCGGACGCTGGCGCTGAACCGGCTCGGTCGAGCCAAGTTCGAGGCACCGCTCGTACGCGGCCCAGATGGCGTCGGCGATCACAGCACGGAACCCGTTCTTCTCGGCGCGGTAGAGACCGGCTGCAGTGGTTCCGCCAGGACTCGTGATGTTGTTCCGCAGCTCGACTGGGTGCGCGTCCTCTGCTTGCATGTACATGGCAGACCCGAGCATCGTTTGCTGCACTAGTTTCTACAGCGAGACAGATAGAGTTGTGCGTGGTGGTTAGTGAGTGATGTAGGCTCCGGGAAAGACATGCTGCTCTGTGGCTGCATGTACACCGTACTGTGGCCACTGGTCGAGAGAAGCCCATGTGCACGCCCGTGTCAATCATTGCCTCGGCCACGAGGAAAAAGTAGGCTGCAGAAAGAAGCGCACTCCATGAGAAACAACTCAAAGACACGCACACACATATGCACATGACAGCAAATGATAGCAACACAGTACCAGGTCCGGATCCAGACAGCGCCGTCGCCATATCCAGTGCATTCTCGTCGTCCACAAACACCTGTGCCGAGCAGCAACAGCAACAAAGCCCTTAGTTCTGCTCGACTTCTGACACCAAGCAAGGAGGAGGCGATGAACACGCGAAGCAGCACCGGGTTGCACTTGTACCTCCACGCCAAACGATCCAAGGATCTGCTTGGTGAGTTCATGCTGCGCACTTGTCACCTCGGCCGACTGAGCCCACACCGTCGTGCCCTCTCCAATCATAGCCGGCGTGTTGGGCATCGTGCGAATGATGTGGCTATTCTGTCCCAGCAGCGCTTGCAGCTGCTTGATGCTTAGTCCCGCCACGACAGAGATGAGCAACGCTCCGGGGTCCATGGACGCCTTAACAGCTCGCAGCACCTGCAACACGTGCATACATCTGGTGAGCGACAGCAATAAAGAGATGAAGCGATGGAGTGCAAGAACACGATCGACTTGTAGTGCTTCTCATGAGCCACTACTACCACTACTGCAGCTATCAGACAAGCACAACGTACGTCGTTGGCGACTTGAGGCTTGACCGCTACCAAGATCACGTCTGCGCCGTTCACGGCCGAGCTGTTGCGCGTGTGCGTCTCCACGTGCAGCGGCGCGTACTTGGTGCGCATGGCAGGGTTCGGGTCCGACACAACGACCTTCGAGCTGGGAATGAGTCCGTTCGAGAGCACACCCGTGATCATGGCTTCAGCCATATTGCCGCCGCCGATCACGGCCAGGCGACGGAGGTCCAACGCAGCCGTTTGAACGGCATCGGTGCTGCTCTTGTGCTGGTTGTTGCGGACGCGAGTGGACCAGACGTTACCGGCCGTGAATGCTGAGGCGGCTATCGCCGAGGGGCGGAGCACGCGGCGGGCAGCGGCTAAGCGCAGTAGAAACGACATCAGATCTTTCAAGTAGGAGTGTCGCTCGCGAGTGTTCGGCGACTGTGGAGCTTTTCGAGTCGACGGTTCGGCAGAAACAGCTGGTGGTCGATCTCCTGTTGAAACCGATATCGAGGTCGCGATTGGTGGACCTTTTGACTCTGAGAATGCATCGGATGTCGCGCTGTGCTGGAATGATTGCTGTAACAGCTGCGAGAGGGTCCCTGTGGCAATGAATACTACACACCGCAGGTCGCGCTCGTCCTTCACACCATGCGGGGTCAAGTACGTTGGTAGCAACGTGCAGGAGCAGTACAGACGACGACGCGCTCACGGATCTGAGCTGTGCTGTGTTGCAATATACGTCTTGTTGTACGGTTGCTATGTTGTTCGTTACAGCTTGAGCTGACGCCAACGTATGCGGTGCAGCTGGATGGCAAGATCCTGGCGAACGCACACGCAGTTGGCCACAACGGAGACGGCGTCACGGAGCTTCTGTTTGGCTCGTTGACGGGCAAAGTGTCGGTGTGGAAGGTGCGACGGCTGTCGTGCTGTTGCTATGGTACAAAGTCACTGGAGGACTCGAGTGCTGGCAGGTTGTCGCCGGCCGTCTAGTGCAGTGGAGGAGCTGTGAAGTGGACGGCTCCGTGACGTCCATTTGTCTCGACTACTCGGTCGCTGAGAGTGTAAGTGCGACAGAATCTGATTTCACATGCATTGTACAGCAATCATGTTGCAGTGTTGTGTTGTGGCACGACATTACGTTGCAGTGTTGTGCTGTGGTCACGACTGATGCTATACTGTATGGTGCGATGCGATTGACGTACGTGCGCAGCCTCGGGTCATTGTAGCGACGGCAGAGGGGACGTGTACGGTGTTTTGCTCTGTACAGGGTGCGGAAGAGCTGCAGCTGTGCTTTGGGTTTGTAAGTATCTTCCGCGTGTGTCGTGCACCTTTGTGTATGTTGTAGTGGGCTCTAGTAGAATGTGACGGATTGATGGAGCTGTGGCGGGTGGCTGTTTTCACCAGACGGTTGCACTCAACATCTGTGACATCGTGCACGTAAACGACGAGCTCATTGTAGCAACGCGTGACGGACGCGTGCTTGTTTACCAACAGGACCATGCAGATCTCGACAAGGTATGTGCGTGCACTGTCGCCTTCTTCTTTTCGTAGCTGTTGATTGCAAGACGCAGGTCACGAGATTGTTGTGCTTGGCTGGCAAAGTATACGCAGATCGCACAAATGGAGATCGACGATGAGGTCGAGAAGCTGATTGTCGTCCAGCCCAAACTATCGAGCTCGAATGCTTCGACCCAGCTTCTTGTCAGGTGTTTCTCTGGCCGAGTCTTTTGTCTGATCGGGCCAAGCACATCGGAGACAACTAACAAGCGAGAAATCGTACCGTGGAGCGGCCCTCCTGCCACTGACGACAGCATCACTTTTGTCGTTACCGACATCGAAATGAACGAAGCGCGAGACATGGTAGCCCTTGTGTCGGTGAGCGGTCTCGTGTCGCTGTACTCATCGTCCGGAGAAAAGCAGTGGGACTACCAGGTGCGTCACGAACGCGATATTCACTAGCGCGGATCAATGCTTCGGTCTCACCAGCATCTGTGTAGTTGCCAGAAGCTGTTGTCAACGCCGACAAACTCGAGATGACAGCACGTGGAGGGGGACGTCAGGATGCTGTCCGTTGTGCTTGAAGCGTCATGCGACGTTCTGTTGGTATTCTCTCATTGTGGCTGGTTGTAGGTTGTGGTCTGCACTTGGAGTGGACAACTGTTTGCAATTCAAAGCGAGCAAAAACTTGTGCGCTTCCGAATGCCACTGCCCAGTTGCTCCATGTTCTGTGGTGAGCTGCTTGATCTTGCGAGATTGCTGTATTCGATGAGTTCGTTTGACGTTGCTCGTCTTGTTTCGGCAAGTCGACATGTGCGAGTTGCCTGCCCAGGTTGACCCTACTATTGTCGGCATCAGCACTTCGGGCACGGTTTTCGTCTACCGAGACGTGCAGGACACACTTATTCGCGGTCTGCAAGACTTAACGTTGGTGCGTGCAAGCTAAGGGGTACTACACTTGACGCACCATTTCACCGGGCTTTACGCGCGCTTGATGTTTCAGGCGGATGTAATCAAGCAGAGCACTGTGTATGCTCAACTGGACAGCGTAGAAAAGCGCAAAAATGTGATGAAGAAGCTGTGCACTGCGTTCCCACAATGCGTCGTGTCCGCCGAAAGTGCAATGCCCAGTGTGGCAGACCTTATCAAGGCCATGCTTGCAGTTCCTGTGCAGCCGTAGCAGGGTAGAGTTAATGTGTGCACTGCACATTTGCAAATCATTCTCGTGTTTAACGGTCTTGTAGCTGGTACGAGTACTCAATGAGATTCGCCACACTATCGGGGCCCTGGTAAAGCAGATTTCGAGCAAACTCACCCGCGTAGCTAAGATGGGAGTTGATGTCGGACGCATGGTTGACACGATTCTTCCAAGACGTGTCGAATACGCGAAAGGCGATACAAAACAGCTCGAAAAATGCCACGGGGTCCTCGAAGAGTCTCCAAAATGGACGCTCCGAGCCCAGGCAGCCACCGTCCTGCAATTGCAGCAGATCGGCCAGCATGTACGCGATCTGAGATCCCATCAGCGCGTAAGGATAGGCCTCTGGTCCGTTCTGGTCAGCCAGAATCGGCAACGCCACTGCACGATGCGCTTCGTGGAAATAAAGCAGACACTGCATCGGCAGCACAAACTGTATCTCTCGCACAGGATCGCCATGTCGGAATCCAATTCTGTTCCATTCGGGGCTCGTTAATGCGAACGGCTGTGTATCAAAGCAGGACGCCCACAAACGCTGCAGCATGTCGAGATGCTCGCGGTTTTCAGGGTGCAGCGGCGTCTTCATGGCACCGATGAGCTTGGCCAGATGCACTAACACCGAAGCTGTGGGTGGCGCAGTGCCATCTCCAGCACCTCCACCAGAAGTTGCAGCTGTTACCTTCTCCCACATCTGCACCGAGTGCTTCTGCAACGCTTGGGCCACAACTGAGCTCTTGATCTTGGACGCCAGCGCTTTCTTCGCACCGATCAGGACGCTGCCCACTTCTTGCGTCTGCGATGGTGGCAGACGATAGTCGCTCGCTTTTTCGCTCAGAGCGCTGTTCTGCCAATCGAAGAAGGCGCGAAACTGTCGGTCTTCCAACACGTCCACGAGCTCCTCGTTTACCGTCGTCAGCTTATCCGTATGCTTCTCACGATCTTGCTTTCTCTCCCATTTGTTCGTCCTTCCCTCTCCCTCCTCCCGATCATCTACCACCACCTGCAGCTGCAAAACCTTCACGCGGATCTCTCCATTGTTAGCGACAGGCAGCACTGCAGTCTCATCGATCAGATCTCGCCAACAGTACAGACGCGAAGACGCTTGCGCCGGCGAAACCTGCAGACGAAAGTGGTACGAGCCTTCGAACGGAAACTTGCGACGCAGCTCAGCAAGCGTCGGGTACGACGACAGCATCAGCGACGACGCAAACTCCTCGAGACGCGCGTCCGTCTCCTCGCACAACGTTTGCTGGAAAAAGTAGCGGCACAAGACGCCGCACGCGCTCATGTTGCTCGCGTGTGTCGAACTAGCTCATCATTGGCTGAAATAGTCAACCGGGACAAGCGATGCCGGATTGGCTGAAATTGATGCAGAAAAGCCCCAAAGCTGCATGACCGTCTCGCTGCCAAGTCAATGGAAGACGATGAGTGGGACGACGCGCTGCTGTCGGAGCTCGCGGCGCTCGAGGCGCAAGCGCTGGAGACGCAGCACCATCAGCATCTGATCCAAAACCGTCAGCCTCTTTTTGTAGATCCAGCAACATCGACCGCGTGTGCTGTCGATGCGTGGAGCTGCCGGTCGTGTACACTGCAGAACGAGGCGTCAAGCGTGGCGTGTACTGTGTGCCTCACACCGCGCGATCGAACCGCTGTCGCGAAGAAGACGGTTCAAGCCACGCTATCATTCGATGGAACACCGTCAGCGTCTGTAGCAGTAGCGCGGCCACGTTTTGAGCAAAAACAGCACCAAGTGGGACAGCGTACCGCGATTGTTGCTTCTGCTACAACTGCTTCTGATGCAGCTGCTTCGTCCACAACTGCTTCGTCTACAGCTTTTTCGTCTACTACATCTTTTACACAAGGAGCAGCTGGTCCGTTGTCGCTAGCGCCTCGACATGCTGCAGGAGAGGATGCTGACGCGAGAACGAGGTACTTGGACGTGGAGACGACCGTGACGTGTCCTCAAATCGACTGCGAGGCGGCGCAGTACTTCGTGTACCCGACCAACTACTCGATTCGCGACTACCAATTGACAATTGCAGAGAAGGCTTTGTACCACAATACGCTCGTGACGCTGCCGACGGGACTGGGCAAGACGCTCGTGGCAGCTGTCGTCATGTACAATTTCTATCGGTGGTTCCCGACCGGAAAGATCGTTTTCATGGCGCCGACGAAACCGCTGGTCGCTCAGCAAATCAAAGCTTGCCATGAGGTCATGGGCATCCCGCTATCGGACACGGCCGAGCTGCAAGGCAATGTGCCTCCGACCATGCGTCGGGTGCTCTGGAACTCTCGACGAGTGTTTTTTTGCACTCCACAGAGCTTGCAAAACGACTTGAAACGAGGTGTATGTGCTGCAGAAAAGTTTGTGTGCATCGTGGTGGACGAAGCTCATCGTGCAACAGGCAACTATGCGTACTGTTGCGTGGTTCAAGAGATCGAAGCGAAGACGCAATTTTTTTCGCGTATTGGCACTTTCCGCGACACCTGGGGCAAAGTTTGACGTGATCCAAGACGTGGTGACCAATCTGCGTATTTCCCACATCGAAAGTCGGTCGGCAGATGATTCTGATGTAAAAAAGTATACTCACGTTCGTCAAGAAGAGGTGGTCATTTGTCGTTTGGGGACTCACATCTTAGAGGTGAAGGCAAAGTTTATGAAGTGCTTTACGCCGATTGTACAGCGGCTTCTTCGAGGTAATATTATCCAGTATGGTGATCCGGAAAAGCTCACGAGCTGGTATGTACTACAAGCGCGAGAGAAATTTCGCAAGAGCCCCAACTACGATACAAACCGTAGCGCTGAAAGTGATCTAGCTCTGCTGGTGAGTTTGTTGCACGCAAAAAGCCTGTTGACAGGCCACGGCCTTAGCAGCTTTCAAGACCAGATCACGAATTGGGTCGAGGAGCGCAAAAAAGGAAAAATGTCGTGGTCCAAGAGAGAGATGTTGCATTCGTCAGAGTTTCAGTCGCTTGAGTTGAGCTTGGCGGCGTCTGCCAGTAGCGACAGTTCTGCTAGCCACCCCAAGTTGATAAAGCTCCGTGAGGTGCTGCTGGAGCATTTTAAACGTCGTGCGGCAGGAAGATCGAACACACGTGCAATCGTCTTCACTCAGTATCGAGCAAGTGTGTCAGAGATTGTAGCGCTACTACGCCCGCTAGCACCTTTGCTCAATGTACAGCCATTTATTGGCCAGGGAGCATCAGGCAAAGCTAAGGAAAACAAAGGCCAGTCCCAAAAGGTACAGCAAGACATCGTGCGCAGGTTTCGATCGGGAGACTACAATGTTCTCGTTGCAACGTGTATTGCAGAGGAAGGCCTGGACATCGGCGAAGTCGACCTCATCGTTTCATTCGATGCCCTCACTTCGCCTGTGCGGATGATCCAGCGAATGGGCAGGACAGGGCGTAAGCGTGTTGGTCGAGTCATCATTCTAGTGACAGAGGGTGAGGAGCAAAAGAAGCTGGCGCGTAGCGCATCCGCTGCAAAGACTGTGAGTCGTGCCCTTACAACCTTCAAGAGCAAGTTTAAGTACTCGCGGTGTCCACGAATGCTACCGGCCGGTGTTTGCCCAAAGTTGAGGGAACTTGAGATGAACATACCGACTTTTCATGCGTCTCAAGTGGGCGGTAAGACTGCTCAAGGGGCAGTTGACCCAAATCTGTGGCGGCTCAGTGAAGCGGAACGAGCCGTGGCGTTGATGAAGTATTTTCCACCGAACTTTGCGACAAGCTCGAGGAATCGATTGTATCCAGTCGTCGCGAGTCGGAAGCACTTACTGCGTCGGCAACCGCGCACTTTGACACGAAAGAATGTGGGAGCTCGAGTGGGATATAGCTCTCGCTCGCTCATGTTGCAAACGCTGGTCCGGAAGATTCACAATGTCGAAGCAGTGTTGGAGACAGAGTCAGACGGTGAAGAGGACAAAAGTAGTGGCACGAACGGGAACGAGACCGGCACGGCAGGTGCTAGCATCGCCATACCGTCCGACTCTACAAAACGCGTCACTCGTCGCGAATTTACACATTCAAGAAATGATCGCTGTCAAACTAACGTGGGTACGGGCACCGGGCAACCTACTGGCGATGCGAGCTCGTCTCCACGACACACAAGTACTCCTAGTGAGCTCGATGAAGAAGACAAATGTGGCGGATCGTTTGCTTCGATGAATGAGGCTGCAGATACTTTCGACATGCACTTCAGCCCCCAATTTGTCGATCTTGCGACGCAGGCTGTTGAGGATAGTGAGCGGAAAAATAGGGGTAATGTCGGCGACAGCCAAAAGAAGAAGTTGGTGGAACGTGCGGATAATGTTGCGAGACAGGATTTTGGTAATCCGGACACGGCATCTACGTCGAGTGCAATAGCGTTCGCAAGCAAGGCCAGTGAAGATGACCCGAGTCAAACACCGGGTGAATGTGAAGGACCTCGCGTGAGTGCGAATCGTGCCGACAGCTTGTCTCATTGCATGTCTGCAGCATCTCCTTTGGCTGTTACCTCTGATTCCCGTCGTCCTCCTCCAAGCTCGTGCGGTGTTGTCTGCCACGAAGTATCAGCTGGACAGGAGGACACTTCCAGGTCTACTCAAGTTCCAGCTGTTCCTCGATCACGTAGCATACGGCAGTTGCAGTTCGATAAGAAGGGTGATGGTGACCACTCAATGGACCGAGCACAAAAAGCCGTTGAGATCCCACAGCAAGAAAGTGTTGCTCCAGATTCTGAACCTGAGCTACCACCGGAGAAGCAAGAAGTGTCCATAGTGGAAGACGAAGGTCATTCTGGCTTTTCATTCGCACTGCTACCAACTGACTTGTGCACGGGTGAGGCGACTACGAAGAGTGAAATGGAGAGGTCAACAGCAGAAGAAGACCCGTCTGAGGAAGCATCTTCTGCTTACTCGTTTGCCTTGCTACCTACTAATGACACCAAAGATGGAGGCACATCGAACGATCGTGACATTCTGGCAAAGTCAAGAGACGCCGGCAACGAGTATCTTTCTGTTCCAGACGATACTGATTGTGATGGGGTCCACGGAGCGAACGAGGTGACAATTGCAGTCGAGGACAAGTTGGCATGTAATGAACGGCACACAGAATCGAAAGGCATGACGGCTACACCAAAGAAGGTGAAGTATCACGCCGCAGTGACGAGCGGCGAAACCCTGAAGGTAGAGGATTCGATGTTGTTGTTGGAAACTCGAACGACTGGCCGTATTCAAGCGCCACTATCCCAGAGTCAGCTGACGAAAGCTGAATCGAAGCAGGTGGACGAAGCTCGCTGCTCCATTTGTCGGGAAAGCGAGTCGTACGACGATGATCCTATTGTGCTGTGCGACGGATGCAATGTGGCGGTGCATCAATTTTGCTACGGGATCAGTGTTGTTCCTAGTGGTAAGTGGTTCTGTGATAGCTGCGCCGACGTGCGACGTAGCGCACGCGCGGCAAACCCAAAGCAGAGAGTGTGTGAGCTTTGTCCACTCCGTGGTGGCGCGTTGAAACGGACAAAGTGCGGGAAGTGGGTGCACGTTCAGTGTTTTTTATGGATTCCTGAACTTCGAGTGGAGAATAGTGACACCGATGTGCTCGTTCTTGGTGACTTGAGCACATTAGACCAAGACCGCGGCACGCTCGATTGCTCCTTGTGTCATTCGCAGAAGGGCAAAGGAATCATCCAGTGCGCGCACAAGAGATGCTTGTCTGCTTTTCATGTCAGTTGTGCTGCCTTCGCACACTACCGAATGGATCAACTGGATCCTCCCGACGGTGGAGAAACGGGGTGTGGTACGTTGTTCTTAGCGTACTGCCCGCTACATCGTGCCTCTCGCGCTCCAGTTATTTCCCCTGTACAGCCAAAGACATCCTTGCCAGCCCAGACTCGTGACGCCAAGCCTCCAGTAGCTACTGCAGCAAAACTTTTGTCCCCGAGCCATTTATTGACGTCACCTCCATCAGCAGAGGCAAAGAGCAAGTTCAAGACGTTCCGGCGACTAAAGCGCAAGTACGATGCAACGCAATCGCAAATTATGTCACAACCGGGAAAGAACGGGTCACCGGTGACGACTCCGCCGTGGCAAAAGCACATGAGGCGGTCGAAGCGGCGACGAGAGACGTCTCGGGTCTTGGCAGCTGCGTACATCGAAGACGCAGCGGAAGTTCGAGGAGGAGCTGGGCATGACGATGACGAGGAAGATGACTACGGAGATGATTATAGAGAAGCGGCTGACGACTCGTTTATCAACGATTCGTCGCAACTGCTGTATTCGCAGTCGGTCGTGTCTCCGGAAGACGGTGACCAAGACCAGTCGAAGAAGAAGAAGCGGAAGAGGTCGAGTCCCGATATGCGCGCTATCTATGCGCGATCACTATTCGAGTCGCAGAGCTCTCCACTGCTGTTACGCCGAGGCGGGCGGCAGTTGGGAGCTCTCCCTTCGAACGGTATCATCCAGGCCTGCTTGACTGAGTTGCACAACCGGGACAAAGCGGGTCCTGTGCCACCGAGGCCGCACTCTTCTTCACGAGTGCCTCACACGGCAGAAGCCACAGCGATCGCAGGACCAGCGCCATCATCAGCTCCGCTTTGCGCTTCTGCTGCTGTAATTGACTCCGATGAAGACGACAGCGCCACTGAAGCCGAACCGTTGCCCAGTTTCAATTTGCTTGCTCTTGCCAAACCGATCCATAATGCGCAAGTTCGCACTCGCGGACCGGATGAGCAAGAAGAGAGCGACGACGCAGAGACAGCGGATACTGAAGTGGCGTCGCCGATCTGTGGTGTGATCGGCGCTACCAGACCGCGTGCTGGTGCTACTGCTGCAAACGCGATGGAATTAAAAGGTCTATCTGTCGAAAAACCTGCTTGCACTCCATCGAGGAGTGGCCTACACGTTGCGGGTGATGCTGAGCTGCAAAAGAAGATCGAAGCAAACCGTATGAAGGCTCTCGACAAGCTGAACGAACGCAGGCAAATGGAGCTCCAGCGGGCCCGACTACAGCGTCCACACTCTTTTGGCGAAGCGCCACGGCTGGACCATGACCAGAGGGTCGATAGTTCTAGCACACTCTTTGATTGCAGCAACACTGCGCACACGGCTACGTCATCCCTGAGGGCACACGAAGACGATTCAGCTGCTCACCATCACAAACCAAGGGCTAGCAAGATGCTGAACTCTTCTGTCCCAGGTCTCGGACGTGCCGTGACTACTGTTGACTTGACAAGCTCGGGACCGGCGATATCTGAAGTTCTTCCACAAGATCTAGCATCCAAGTGGGCCATCTTCGTGAGCTCAACCTTTGCGAAGTCGAGAGATTTCCCACATCTTTCGTCAACGAAGTACGCCGAATGCGCTGTGCTTACCGCTGACTCGTTGGAGGCAGATGCCCTGTTAAGCGTTCGTGTGGCAGTGCTTTTCCTCACGGGACAACAACTGTATGACTTGAGTCTTGCTGGCCCGGGTCAACACGTAGAAACAAGCCGGCGTGCACGGACGTTGTTGGCAATGCACAAAAAGGTCGTTGTGGCAGTTGTTCACGATGGAAATCGCATGCCTGAGATCCCGTGGCTGAAACAGCTTCCAAATGCAGTGGTCGTTGTCCGGCCGCGTTTCGATTCCTTGTGTGCAGAGCTCCACCGAGTTGCCCACGAAGAACTTGTCCAGGGTTACGAATTACCCTCTCCAAGCTTGTGCTGTCGTGATGCGAGTGATGGCGCAGGTACGGGGTTGGACATACACTTTGCGTCACGGCTCGAACTTTTCCGCACGATTTCGCCGTTGTCGCTCGGCAGCGCGCTTTCTCTCAGTTTTCGCTTCGAGAATTTCGTGGCAAAGCAGGTGCCAGTGCTCAAGTTCAACGAGATGCACTGGAGACGAATGCTGCCGTGGATATCGGAGTCAACCGCGCAAGAAATCCAGGAACACGTCAAGCGAAATGCGCAGCGGTATTAAGAGCGTTAGCTGACGATGCAGTGGCGCTTACACCAACTCATTGTTTTACACAGACACAGTCTAGTTCGCCAGGGACTCGATCACGCGGATGGAATCGTCCAGCGTCTTGTCGTCTTTGCAGAAGGCGAGACGTACCATACCCGGGGCAAGGCGGTTCTCCGGGCGGCTGAAGAAGGGCGACGTCGGTATCACCGCAAGATGACCAGCCTTGACCAGCTTGTAGGCAAACTGGTAATCCGGGTACTCCTGCACACGGCGCAAAGCAAAAAGACGCTTGTCGGTACGAGACGACCACGTCACTAGCACAACAACGACAAAAGCGCACCGTCTTCGGAGTGTCTGCTGTGACCTCGATGTCGCGAAACTCATTGTAGAACGGCAAGCGCTCGACGTTACAGCACACAAAGTAGCCGCCCTGTGGAACGATCGGACGCCAGTTGTGAGCCTCGAGCGCCTCGCACAGTCGATCACGCTTCGTCTGGCCATTCCATGTACTATCATTAGTCATGTACACTACCCCCAATATGAAACACGAAATGCCACGACGCAGCGCAGCCACGTCAACTCACCTCCATAGTCTCCCGCAGCTCGTCGAAGTAGCCATTAACCTGTGCTTCCCGGAACACCGAAGCCAGCGCCACTTCGAACGGCGTCGTGCCACAGAAGGGAACAGTGCTGTGGGCTTTGATCACGCCTTCGACCAAGTGCGCTGGACCAACCGCGTAGCCCACGCGCCAGCCCGTGCATGAGAACGTTTTGCCGGCACTAAACAGCGAAATGGTTCGGTCAAAGAATCCCGGCAGCGCTGCAATGCGTTCGTGCGGGACGCCGTCGTACGTCATAAACTCGTACACTTCGTCCGCCAGCACAGTGATATCCGGATACCGCTCCAGCACGTGCGCGAGTTCGCGCAGCTCTTCGCTGGACAAGACTTTGCCCGTGGGATTATGCGGTGTGTTTAACACCAGCAGCTTCGTCTTGGGCGTGATCATGGCCTCGAGTGTCGATAAATCCAGGCGAAAATCCCGCGACGACATTTTGTCGCTGTTTGTTTTATCCGGATAAAAGCGAAACGGTACCCCAGCGGCCCGCACGCCGTGCAGCTGCGCGACCGTCACGTACGCATCAAAGTACGGCTCCAGCGTCAGCACTTCGTCCCCGGGCTCCAAAAGCGCCGCGAGGATCGACGCCAGCCCTTCCTGCGCGCCATTGAACGTCGCGATCTCCCGCATGGGGTCCAGCGGCCGTCCCACTAGCGGCGCGTACATCTCAGCCAGTGTCTCGACGTACCGGACGTGGCCGCCGGGCCGCGTGTATTGGTTATTATCCTGGATAATCGCAGCAATCGCTGCTTGTTGGACAAACGCCGGCGTCGGGAACGAGGGAAAGCCCTGTCCCAAGTTTACAGCGTTGTGCTGAGTCGCGAGTGCGGAGAACTCGGCAAAGACATTGGGTGGTAACGTGCGCACGCGGTGCGAGATGCAGCGCGCGTGATGGGCCGCGAGGAGCGCGACGGCGCGTGTGGGTCCGAAGACGGACATTATCAGAATGCGGTGGCTGTTTGCAATCGAGTCGAGTGGCGTTGGATACTTTGTTGCAGCTGGACGATGAGGTTTTTTGTTTGCGGATCGGGCAAATGGGCACGTGTGTTCGGACAAGTGGGCGTGACGTTGGCATTTCAAGTGGCAAATAGTGACACGTTGTGGAGGTCGAAACGATACGAAACTGCGTTTTGATTGCTAAACGCTGTTTCATTGCCAAACGCTGTTTTACGAAACGGAACGTAAGCACAAGTTGCTCGAAATACCACGGCATGATGGCGTTTCAGCTTTCTGTTTTAACGCGTTTCGGCCTCGTGGACATGAGCCCATACTGGTAATGGCACCTCGTACGACCAGTCACGTCCTGCGTAGCGATACGAATGTAGCCATAACCCACCGTCCGTCGCGTCACCATCTTCTGTTGTTCCGCTTTGTTCTTGCATGGCACCAACGCAGATATCACACGCGCGAAGACATCGCTCTTCCTTCTCTCGATCACTGTCTTCAACAGGTGACGCAGTTCCAGTGGACGAGAGCGTTTCCTCGACGTGGACCGACGACACTTCAAGTGCTGCTGGCGATTCGTCTGCTACTGCTCGTCCCCTCTCAGTCGTCACGGGACCATAGACGGGATCATTGACAATTGGGAACCCCAAGTGCTGTAGATGGACGCGGATCTGATGCGTGCGGCCGGTCACCAGTTGACACTCGACAATACTTTGCCCGTTCTCTGCTTTTCCACGACAACGCAGAAGCGTCACACACGACTTGGCCGACGGCGCGTTTGTCACACATCGCACATGTCCTTGACGAGGACTCTTCAATCCAATAGCAGCTGTCACTCGCCAAAAGCCGTCGTCCACTGCTTCGATCGTCACGAGTCCCGAGCGTCTTCCGTCGACATGGGCCCATGTCGACGCCGTCTCATCCTGTGGGAACTCGCCCGTAACTCGTGCGACGTACGACTTCTGCACGACGCGACGCTCGGAGCCGTTCACTGACGAGCAACTCGTCAACTCGGCAGTGAGGCGACGTGCGCTATCGGCCGACTTGGCGAGCAACAGCAGACCCGACGTGAGTCGATCCAGCCGATGTACCGGGAACAGCGTCAGCCGATCGACGGCTTCCTCACTGCTTTTTGCGGCAGCTTCGCATCTCCGTTCGTGCTGCAGCAAGTGCACCAGCGAGTTATAGTAATAACTACCGCTCGGGTGCACAGGAAGGCCAGAGGGTTTGTTGACGACCAGCAACTCGCTCGTCTCGTAGTGGATCCACGTCGAGGACAGCGCCGTCGCATCAATGAGCTGCTGCTGCTGCTGCGGGTCCCCAGTCAATGGACAGTGGACGTCGGGTTCGTGTCGGTGCTTCCAGTGCTCGAGAAAGTCGCCGCTCTGGAGCACCGACTCGAGACGTGTGGCGCTTCCGTTCACTCGAACGAGTCCCAAGTGCACCGCCTGCGCGCAATAGGCCGACGACAGCGTCGGGAACTCGCGCGCAAACAGCTCACGCAGTGTATGGCCCGTCCATCGGCCTTTGGCGAAGAGAGCAAAGCGGTGTACGTAGGGATCGATGCAGCGGACGACACAGGCGCTGCCCGCCACTCGATGGGCACAAGTAGTGGACGAGCACGTACGCGAGCGGACGGTCGGCCAGCGCCCGACATCTGCGCGCACGTGGCTCTGGCGCTGATTCCGACGCTTCCGTGACGATCTGTGGGTGCCACTGGCCACTTGCGCAGCTCTACGCGCCGCCAGCCACTGCGCCTTCGCCTGCTTCCGACGCAGCTTCTTGCTGGGCGGAGGTGGGTCGTCGTCGTCCGCCATCGACGGCGTTGGTGGTGGATCCACTCGCGTCCACTGTTTTCCGGCAAATATCGAGGCTCGAGAGTGGATAGATGGACCGCGTGACAGATAGAAACGTGGCGGACCTGCCGTGGGGTTCGCTTCGCAACGTCTTTTGCTCGTTGCACTCGTTATGTTGCTCGTTGGCAACACATGTGTGCGTGCAAATGTGCGATGGGATCGGTGAGCGTACAACTTTTGCGTATTTTATTCGGGTCGGCCCCAGCGGCCGATAGATTCCTTCAGCGTTGACTGCAATCGCTCTCGAGTGTTCCCGATTCTCCGATACTGAAATGCGTCTAAAGCATCAAGCGCCAAGATGAACTACTGCTGCGTCGAGAGACGTTATCGTGCTGGCGTAGGAAATAGGGTCAATAGCGTACATCGTTGCTCTATCGATATGCGTTGATAGACGACGGCAACGACCGTCGATCGAGTGTCGATAGCTTTTGCTTCAGGAGGTAACGACTGACTAACTGACTGACTGACTGAATGCCTTAAGAATACCTTTTCAAGTTCTGCATCGCATCATGTGAGACGACAAAAGAGTGTGAAGACGAAGAGCGTATGACGCACTTTCATGTCAATACACAACCCCAACAACAAGAATTAGAGGCTGTTGTTGCCTCAGATGATAGGAAGTGTGTAGACAGATCGATTGTTTGTGACCAAAGTGTTGAGCGCGAGCTGTTCCTTGAAAAGACGCGACGATCGCTGAGTCTATTCGTTCTTCTGCATATGCCATCCCCGCCGCCTTTTTCAACCACTTCACTGAGCAATTGACTTGCGACGACAGACATAGAATGGCAACACGCGAGGCAGTGGAAGGGGTGAGTGGTCGGCTACGTATGGCCCTGGACCAGGAAAGCTTTGCACCCGGTGAGGTTCTTCGTGGCGTGGTGAAGCTCGGCATGTTGGAGCTGATCGAGGCGAGAGAGCGTGAGTCATTATTGCTATCACGCGTGCTATAGTTTCGATCTCGTGCCTTTAGCTTTCTGTGCTTACGGTGGGCCTGCGAACAGCGCTTGCGGTGGTTGTTCAGGGCAAAGAGATGTTGTCGTGGGACGAAGGCCGTGACAGTCCCGTCACGAACGCTTTCGACCAGATTTTCCTACAACAAAAGGTGACTTGACATTGACCATTCATGTCCAGAGGAATCCACCGCTTGCATTGTATCGTCCACACTGACTGGCGATGTTGGTGCGTGTCTTCAGGTTGAGTTGTCGACGTCCGCGATGTACGAAGCCGGCGAGTGGGAGTACCAGTTTGAGCTTCCGTTGCCACTGCACTTGCCCTCGAGTTTTGAGCTACTCGACATTTACACTGAAGCAGTGGACCGTCTCCGCGTGCAGATTACGTACCAAGCGACGGTGTGGCTTCGGTCGAGCAGCGACGTGGTCGGTTATTTGACTGCTGCTCAAGCGTTTGCAGTGCACGAGCTGTCTACGATCACGCCACCTGCGAGGGCTCTCGAAGTCTCGGCTTCTGAGGCGGTGCACTGGCTGCACTGCATCAAGCGTGGCGAGTTGCAGCTCGTGGTCACGATTCCGAAAGACGTGTATGTTTCGGGTGAAGTGGTTCCGCTTCAATGTTGTGTGGACACAACGGCCTGTAAGACATCGATCACGTCCGTCGCGGTGGCACTCGTGGAAGATGTGGTGATGCGGAACTTGGGGGACCGACCCGACTGGACCCTCTCGCGCGTGCTGTCAACGGAACACTTTGCTGGGCTACAAGCTGGTTGTGTCCGAACACAAGCGACGCGGGTTGAGCTTGTGGAAAACGAGAAGCGCAGTCCCGTGAACCCCGACGTGGACGCGCACTTTGTCCAGTGCTCTCATCGCGTGATTGTCCAGTGCAAGCCGTGGTTTGCACAGAGTGTCGTGTGTAAAGTGCCATTGAGGGTACTGCACCACGACATGTCAGTCCGCGCATAGTCAACGCGATTGCAACGAATGCCTGCGGAAGCTACGGCTGGTCGTGAAAGTCCATAGTGTAGCGAGTCAATACGGCATCAGGCCATGCTGTTTGGTTGCAGCGGTCGAGCGTCAATTGATACGATTACCAGTGGTAAACGCACGTTTGCTCTTGTTGATATATTGGTCGGTCGAGACTCAACCAAACAGCTTTGCCGCGACACCGCATGACTTATAGGGACCGCTGATACCAATGTCTCGTTCGTACTACCATTTCATGCATCAACTTTGTTGCTACAATTGTTGTTGGTCACTTCCAAATTTGCACCAAACTGTGCAAGTGACGAATCACAGCGCGGCACGTGGAAGTGTGCCCCCCTACCATGAGCAGCGGCGCCGCTGCCGACGTTTTTGCGCCCCTGCACGACCCTGCTTTACCTCTGCCAGCTCCTGACGAGGGCATGATGGATGGGACTTGACACTCGTGCGCCTCTAGTTCCTCAGTGCCCATCCCGGGGGTTCCTGTTGCCTCCGGCGTCCCCGGCAGTGAGTTACCTACCTCCCCTGACCGTCAATCGTTTAGCTATAAGGAAGCGATCGGACGAACCGACGACAGTGGCAACATGGGTGTTCAACAGGATCTCTGGGTCAAAGTAGCAACGCGGCCATGGAAGGCCAAACCGGACTCCGATCTACGACCGATGCTTGCAGTGGAAGAAGAGGAGGCTCTGGCTGCTTGGATCATGAGAAGCATGTGCTACCTAGCTCTCCTGGATTTCTTGCGTGTACACACACTTGTGTTATGCGAGTGGCGATGCTTGACGTTTTTGAAGCTTACCTCGAAGGCAGTGTTGTTGCGATTATTCCTCCCAAGGCTCGCATGCCTCGCTTCATCGCCGAAAAGACATTGCTCCTCTAGCTGTTGGAGGACAAGCAGGACTCGTCACCGGAGGTGCTCCTCACCCGCGCGCTGGTCCGCTCGGCGAAACGCACGAATTACGATGATGTAACGCGTCGACTCACCTTCACCCCGAACGACACCACTGCTTCCTTCATTTCCTCATCGCTGTCACTGACGACATCACTTACGTCGTCACCAAGTTGATCAGCACGTCCAACTTTGCGCTCATCCTCGGCAACCTTGGCCATAGTCGGGAGCCGGTAAACAAAGGCGGAGTATTGATCATCCTCGTACTTGAGGATTAAAGTAGGTGGGCTTGACCGATCACCTTTGTCGTCTCTAATCTTCCCAACACACTTATAGACGGTGAAAATCAGTTGCTCTCCCGTTTCAATCACCCGGCTTGCCTTAGTCATTGTAGTCGGCCGGTACAACCCACAGTGCCAGCACTGCGACCCATCAGTCGTGAGACTGAAAAACATAGATATTTGTTGAAGGAAGTTCGCTGCCATTACCAGCGTCTCACTGCCGCCCTAATAGTATTGGTCCACCCTTGTGGTCAAGTCCGTGAGACTGGACGCGTATTCTTCGAGGTACCATTTAAACTGTTTAGTCGACTCGCTGCTCGGCATATTCAGCCGTCCTCTGTTAACAGTCACCAACGTGTTTACCCGGGTCTCGTTGCTGAACTGATCCAGCATATAAATCTGTCCCGTGTATTTGATGCCCTGTTTTAAGCTGGATGTAGCGGGAAGGAGGACCATATCCCTGTGTTACAGCTCGTTATTAGCGAGCGCCTGGACCAATGCCATGGCCATACAATTCCCGGTCGCCTGTGTCTGAACAGGCAGAATATCCAACTGTTGTTGGATCATATCGTACGACCAGGACACCATATTAACTCCAGCGGGCATCCTCGGCAACACACGTGATCCATTGTAACCGTCCACTTGGGTAATACTCTTCAGAAGATCGGTCCGTTCCTGCTGTTTAAGCGCCACCAATTGAGGCGTCAGTGGAAGCTTTGGTGGCATTTTTTTACTAACCGGAGCTGGACCGTATAATCAGTGGCCTTGTCAGAGTGGTGTGCGGCCTCGAACGCTCCTGCAACGCTCGTAACTGGTACGTCTGGAGCTGGTAAAGATACAGAAACACTCGGCTCGCCCTCTTCGTCATCGACCCCATGCTGCTCGACCAGCACGGCATATCGCGATGACAAACTGCACGCCGGCTAGATGATGTCTTCTTTGCACGTAGTCTTTCTTTTTTCAGAAATGTAGACTGTCACCCATTACGGATTAGGCTTAAGTTTAGGCTGCGCAAGTGGAGGTTGTCCGGGCGAGACTGGGTGGGCGGTAGGAAGACCACCATTGCCCGACGCGGCCACATTACGGCCAACTCGACCGTCAGCACTGACTCTATCCACGGCGCGCGTGGGATCCTCAAGAGAAGGGGGAGTGACTGCATGTGCAGATACCGTATCTGCGTGGGTTTGAAGGAGTATACGCTGGACCGCTATTTCGAGCATCTCGGCAAAACTACGGAAAGGAACAGCAAGGTCCTCCAGATGCGTCAGCTCATCCTCAGTAGCCACAATACTCCCTGGCCCACACAGCTACTTCATCGAATATCCACACCTTGCCATAGTATGGCCAATGTTCCCGCACCGCAAACATTGCAGTCGCTTCACCACTTCAAGATATTTCAAAACAAAAACTGTACCGAAATAAAGGAGGTGAACCACATCCCGAAGAAAAACTGGGGCAGCCTGCTAATTGAATCGTTAGTCGCCACACCGTCGATGTCCTCGAGTTCGGTGTACATGTATCCAGAGGTTCCAGATCAAATTCAGGACTAATGTGAGCCGTCAAGAATGCTGTAAAGTGGCCAATGCCCAGGTAGAGCGTTGCATTTCAAAGTCGAATAACATACTCCGTCTGCATCTTGAGTCGTGTACCATCGGCTCATACTTGGCGATTCCACACTGAACCAGAAGTCGGTGCATGCCGATTGTGGAGGCGGTAGATCCTCCGCCCGAATGGCACGAGTGTGTTATGAAACTTTGTCGCCGTATCTCGCTGAAAAAAGTGAATATGAATTGACTTCTGGACCGAGTTGTACCCAATTGTCGTTGATTGACTGAGCGTGGAATGCAATGCCTGGAGATTCACCTTCAAGCCTTCGGCCGCCAGCAGGATATCTTCCTTCAGTGCCTGAGTATGCTGTCGATTAGATGGAATTTACCCTTGTCCGGAAAATGAAAAGGACAGCTCGCCTTCGACTTGTAGCTGAATGGTTGTCTGGATTCGCAATCGACCCTTCGCGTTTAAAACCTTTTAATGAAGTGCGGGCATAACCGGCTCACGATGTGGCCCTCCGCCAGTCCCTGAATAATTTTCCATTCCTCCTCCGTACCATCCCGAAGCCTATTTCCTGTGTAGCGCGCGTCCAGCGCTTCACACAGTGAGCGGAGCCGATCTATAGCAGCCGCCCCGTACTTTTCCGGGCTGAACATATACTGCTGGTAATGTTCTAGAACCGGGAATGGCTCCGCCGAGATGGCTGGTGCAGCCCACCCGGTTACTGCTGCAGCCCATTGATTTATAACCGGTTTACGTGCCCATTTGACCTTACTCGTCACACCCGCCAAAATAGTTGACAGCGAACACGTCGTACTATACAAATCGCGACTCATTGTCCGCGCGTACCTGCACCATTGCTCGAAGGGACATCGATTCACGACACTCACTTGCTCAAAACAACTGAGGAGAAGCGCTGACTCCACCCCCTTCAGCTTCGGATAGCGTTTCTTGGCCAACGGCACACGGTCCAGATTGACCTTCACTGAATCGAATACGCCAGCAAATAACGTCTCCACGGTAGACTTCCAGGAAGCCCGTTGCTCCGCCTCTGGCGAGGCTCGTAATTCTGCGGTGAATGGCTGAAACATCTCTATCGCGTTTATGATGGGCGGAGGCTAAACCTGTACGTCCTCAGAATCCTCATTGGGATCCTGTCGCCCCCGCTGCGTGTCCCCGAGAACCGGGTGCGTATCGGTCGAAGCGGGGGAGTGCAAAAATGCTTCGAACCGTCCTGCCCGACCGGCAGTGTCCACCTGGGACCGCGCAGAATCCGAATCGCTGGCCGACGAAGTGGCGCTTGCTGAACGCTGCAAAATCATCGATGGCAAATGCATACACGCATCACGCGATGAGGCAGTCGACAAAGACCTACTGTGGGTGGGACTAGCTCCACCAACACATTCGCCCCCGCCTAGCCAACCGGCGAGCTCCGCGCCGGAATCCCGCGACCTGGTGTCTTTGCCTGTCGTGGTGTCCGCCATGCTCGGCTGGATCCCGTCCCCTTCTGTTCCAGATACAGTGGCCCGAGAATCAGTATGTGGCCCACACTGATGGTGATCAAGGGGGTTGGGACCCCTCTTCCTCCACCCGCTGGTCCTTGAGATCCGCAGACTGACCCACCCCTCCGGAATGTGGAGGGCGTGGGTCCTGCAGCGCTCCCCTGACCTCAGCCGTGACTGAGGCGAGTTCCATGCTGACCAGTCGCCCCGTGAGCTGGTGATACGGGATACGCTAGACGACCTAGGAACGACTAGTCCGGGTTCTCCTTCAAATCCCTACGGAATGGTAGGCAAATTCAGAAGTGCTTAGCTATAGAGCCAAGCGCACACACGCTTGTTTCACCATCTTGATCGAGAATTTATAAAAGCACATGACGAGTGCAGAAGTCAGAACACAAATAGGCGACAGGACCGTGTAAAACGAGGAGCGGATCACTCGCGCCATTTTCACTTTCTCCCTCAGACAGCGAGTGCCCAATTCCGACTGCGTGTGATGCGTGTTCTGACTGCAGTTCTACTTCCTGTGGCACTCGCCTTGGCAGGATACTTTGAACTGGTGCAAGCCCGTTTGCCCGATGAAAACGGTGCTGATGTCGGTGTTGGCAAGCTCCTTCTAACTGACGCGGCAATGGTCGGCGAATACAAATACAGACTTTTTTTCCATACGATTGGGTCGCTTGTCACGCGGGCCGCTGTAAAAGTGCTTCCGGCGCGATGGGCCAATGAGTTGGCAGCCGCTCATCGCATGTCATCGTTCGACAAGGCTTACGCAGAGGCTTTGACACTTTGGTTAAGGAACTAAAGGAACTGGTGAAG